TAATAATAACTTTCTAAAAATAGAGATATCTGCCGGAGAAATGTTTTTTGGAATGGTCTGGACAGTACTGGGTCCAACATGGAAAATTTATAGACTGATGAAAAATAATGTTTTTTGGTTTTGGTACAGCTGTATGGAAAAGACTTATGTGTGGGAGGATCATTGATGTTATGGTAAAAGAGAGAGAGATATCAATGTTTAAAAATCTGAAGCTTTCATTCATATGATCAGTTGTGGTAAAAGATGTTAAAGATCTATATACAGTACTATTTTTGAAAGTAAGATAATTACTATATCATTATGTAAGATTGGGTCTGTAGTAAGATGGTTACTATATTATTATGTAAGATTGTGTCTGTAGCAAGATGGTTACTATATTATTATGTAAGATTGTGTCTGTAGCAAGATGGTTACTGTATTATTATGCAAGATTGAGTGTGTAGCAAGATGGTTACCATGATATAAAACTATTGGGGTCTTAGTAACATGCTGTATAGTTGCCAAGACTTGCTTTAGTTAGATGGTTATTGTGATGTTGTAGAAAACTTGGTGAAGCCTTTGTTAGGTGGTTATTGTAATGTTGTAGAAGGAGTTTGTGGAGTCTTAGCCAGATGGTTATACTGACATTGTTGAAGAATAGTGAAGTCTAAGTTAGATGGTTATTGTAACATTGTGAAATAACTTGTGAATCCTTAGCCAGATGGTTACAGTGATATTGTGGAAGACTGGTAGCTTTAGTTAGATGGTTATTGTGACATATAGAAGACTTAAAGCCTTTGTTTGATGGTTATTGCAATATTCCATAAAAGTAATAGTGTTAAATGGTTATTAGAATATGTTAAAGTGTTAAATGGTTATTAGAATATGCTAAAGTGTTAAATGGTTATTGTAATATGTAAAAATGGTAAAGTGTTAAATGGTTATTGTACTATTCCAAAGTGATAAAGTGTCAGATGGTTATTGTAGTCTGTATGACTAGCAAATCCTTAGTTATTGGAACATTTTTTATAAGCATAAAAATTGTCAAATTTGATGTTTTGAGCAAAATGGCTTGGGCAATCCTTCTTAGCTGTAAGTGTTTATGTAGTTTTATCAAGTTATTTTTCTTTATTTCTATAACGTTTTGAAGTGATTTTCAAATTAGTGTAGCTGGATGTATTCTGTATATATGTGTCTTTTATCTTCTAAGTTCCTTTAGGGATTTTGTACTTTAGGTGTTGCTTTTTGATTTATGTTTTAGGTCAAATTTCAGGGTTCATTATTTTTATGCGCTATGTAGACTGTACAAATTTATAGGTTTTATTAGTTTGTTAGTCACGAGTTCTTTCTCTAAGTATGTTTAGTTTATGTGTCTTTTTGGTCACACATTATGGTAGTTCTGTGTGTTCTACTGGTTCTATCTGAATGTTTCTGTCTTCAGTTCTCCTCCCATAACCACTTTCATATCTCTTTCCCTCCTCCTCGGGATCATACTTCTTCCATACTTCTTCTTACCTAGTCTGTTCAAGACCTCCTTCACAAAGAGGCTGTTGCTTGGGTGGTGCCTACACAATCTGGGTTTTACTCCTGTCTAATTGTTGTCCCTTGACAGATGGGAGATTGAAGACCTGTCATAGACTTGTCCCAGTTGAACTGTTATCTGGATCCACCTTACTTCACCATGGAGTCCTACCTCTCACTTCATTTCTTTTTTTCCCCCAGGTCTCGGGATGACCAAATTGTCATGACAGATGCCTATCTTCATATTCCAACTACTCCAGTCATTTTCTTTAGTTCGTCTATGTGGGTCTTGTTTTCCAGTTCCAGACGCTACTGTTCGGTCCTTCTTCAGCTCCTTGTGTTTTGTTGTTTGGTACACTCTTTTGTCTCATTTTCATTTGTTGGGTTTTCAGACTTTCCTTTTTATGGATGACTGGCTCCTGCTCACCTTCTCTTATGCCAAGTCATTCAATTACACCTGCTTACTTCTTCGAGAAGCTAATCAAGTGGTTTTCTGATCCAGTTGGAGAGGTCCATTCTTAACCCTACTCAATCTCTTCTTCCATTCCCATCACTGTGGGCCCAGCCTTCTTCACACTCACTCAGGGATATGGTGTGGGCAGTTCTACCTTCTTTTTTCACTGTGTGAGGTGCTCTCTCTCTCTTTTGGAGATGTGGGCTTCCTTTGATGCTCTCATTTTATTGGGTTGAGCTCATGTGTTCCCTTGAGTGGATGCTTCTTGACAAATAGAACTTTTCCCACAATCTCATGGACCATTCCATCACTGTTCCCCCCTTGGATCAGGGTCATCTTTTTTTGGTGGCTCAATAGAGAACTGACCATGGTGGGGGGTTCCCATTACTCCACTGTGTTGAGAGTCGCAACTGTTTGTTGATACCTTCTTGGTGGGTTGAGGGTTTTCCTCGATTCCCAAGAGATTTTTGGTCAAGGAGGCTATGCTCCATTTCGACATTCTAGCACTTTTGGCGGTTTGTCAGGCTCTATATCATTTCCTCCAGCTTTTGAGGGGGGTGGGTAGTTATTGTTCATTCTGACTATTCCACTGTTGCTGGGTGTATCACCAAGCAAGGAAGAACCAAATCCAGATCTCTGTGTTTTTAGATGCTGGATCTTCTTTACTGGGCCTACAACCACCACATGGCAATCTCAGTGTGTCACAATACCAGTGTCGTGAATTTGGTGGTTGATCACTTATTTCAACCCTTGATCTGACATGGTTCATTCCAATGTCACCATACTTCATCTTTGCGCATGGCCTTTGTCCGGTCCCTTGTCTCAACTTAGGGAGTCACCCCTAGTGTAGCATCTTTCCTTGCCTGTACCTTTTGACCTTCCTCATTGTCTGTGTACCAGAGGCATTGGTCTTCCTTCAGACCTGGGTCCATTTGACATGGCTTCTGCCCATCCTGTCCTTTTGTTCTCCATCTGTCCCAGTTCTTCACCTAGTTGTTTGATCAGGATTTGTCCGTGTCAACTGTTGCTAGTTATAAAGCTGCTGTGTCAAACACCTTCCATTCTCCCACTTCTGTAATGCCTTCTCCTCTCCAGTTATTTCTCTCCTTTCCCATTCCATTCATCTGGCCCGTCCACCATATCATTCATGCCCTGTCTGGTTATCCCTTTGAACCCATTGCAACATGTTTCTTGTACTGTCTTTCCCTTCAGGCATGGGGGTCTTTGTTGTTCCAATATTTATGCCATTAATGTTTCCTTCATCTTTTACTACTCTGTCTGGACCAAGCCTTCCTTCCCAACATATTGGCTGCTCTGGAAAGTTGTTTAATCTTTTTCCCTATTTCCTTACCTGTACTCCTGTTTGGATCTGGATCAACTACTTTGTCCTGTTTGTTCCATGCTGTGTTATATGGCTCCTACTGCCTCCTTTCATGATTCTCATTCCCATCTATTTTTATCATAGAATTCCTCTGTTTACAGTGATCTATCACCTATTATGCTCACCAGTTGGGTTTATCAACTCATACGACTGGCATATTCTGACTTGTCCATGGAAGGTTGCTGTTTACATAATGTTTCTTCACACCACATTCATCATCTAATTATGTCTTTAGCTGCTTGAATCTGCCATACTTTGGAGGAGATCTTTCAGGCTGTTTGTTGCATGTTATCTGCACTACCTGCATCTTCCTTGGGTGGGTATCGTCTTCCTCCTGTGGCGATTCTACAGACATCTTTTTGCCTTTGACTGGGGTAAGTCAACATGTTATTTGTTATCTTATTTAGTTGATATACATCATATTTCAAGATTCCACCTGGTGGTAGGTGTTGACTGGGCAGGTATACTTAATATTATGTTAGCACTAAATCTATATAATTCTATAATGCTCACTGTTGAGATTGTATGTTTCTGTAAGACTACCGGCTGCTTATCCGGTGGTATGTGTATGCAGGCCACTTTTGTTGATCTCTGCATCTTATGGAAGGCGTTTCCACTGGTAGATTTTGGCTCGGATGGACCACACTTGACATAATCTGACATATCCAACGGTGCTTCTTCTGGATGTTTTTGCCCAGGCAGACTATACTTGGCCAAATTATTGAATATAATGTGTCCAAGGTGCTACCCCTGGATATTTTTTGCCTGGGTGGATTGCACTTGTTAATCTCACAAGTTCGTGCAAGGCACTTCCACTGGATATTTCTGCCTGGATGAATTGCACTTGGCATAATACTACATATCCCAAGGTGCTTCATCTGGATATTTTTTTTGCCCAGGTGGACTGCATACTGTGATGTAACCCAAAGCACTACCCTTGGTACATACTTATTCAAGCTTATTGTCGCTTCCACACTAGACTTTCTATGTTTGTTAATGCCATGCTCTTTCAAGTAATGGTTCTACAGCACTTTCCCACTGATTTGAGGCTGCACATCTCTTTTCTGAATGCAGTGGTGCCTGCCAATTCAATTCCACCCTCTTTTTGTTCTTTTGTTAACTACTGGGCGAAGAGCATACCTCTTCCAGAAGTAGTGTTATACCCCACATGTGTGATTTCTTTTCATATTTTTGCACACCTGTTCTTTCAGTGTAGTTGCTTTCTGCTTGAGTGGATATTGATGTGCCTTCACTGGCCCCTACACCTTTGCAATGTGGGTAAGCCCTTTTGGGAAGTTAGCATTTTCTTACATTGAAAATGTATTTCCAATAGGCACTTACCTTTTCCCTCCCACTTCCCATCCTTCCTCCCCACTGATGTGCTGGTGTTCCTGGTTTGTACTTGCCAATTCTTAATAGTGAGGATTACTCTAGATTAGTAAAAGGAACCAGCTGCATTAGTAGAGGGCACAGTATGATTGGTGGAGGATAGTCACATGATTTGCACATGTTCTGAAATGGTGTGAAACTGAAGGGGTATACAAGACTGGTGTGTTGTTAACGAAAAAGTTTAGCAATCCTTAGAAGGCTGTCCATAATCGAGATAGCTTTGGGTGAGAGAGATAAGTACCTATCAGAAATACATTTTTAGTGTAAGAAAATGGTAACTTTTTTATATTTTTTTTTATTGCAGTAGTGACTATTTCCGGTTATAAATCGTAAAAAAAATCAGAGAAACTGACAAAGATTTACGGGTGACCTAGGATCTGACCTTTCAAAATTTGATAACATGAGATATCATCAGGTATAATTTTGTTCTGTTAGTTATTAAATAAACATATTTGTCAAATGTTAATGAACTTTATTTCTTTGGAATTTGGACTCCAATGGTTTTGTATAATTCAGTAAGATGAGCTATCACTGTTATAAATTTGAACTGCTGACCAGGGAGAAGGTAACTTTCCAGTAGCATCTGTGCACTGCCAACTCAATGGCTACTCTTTACCAACAAATAGGTTTAACCATCACATTATAATGCCCATAGTCTGGCTTATCTTCGTGATTAGGATGATTGCCTCACTAAATAAGAATCATAAATTTGTTACCCTATGTGACCAAACATGTACACCCTTGTTTCAGTGGAACTTTAAGCAGAGGAGACTAGTAGGTTTTGTCTCCTTTGCTTTCTACAGTTGCAGTCTACTAAAGTTCTCAAACCTACCATGTTCACACTTTCAGCGGCAAAGACGTTGGTCAAGCACACTAATTATTGGTAAAATGTTCATTCCAAGGTTAGATGATGGGTGATTGTTTTACTTCTGGTTGGCAGTTCAAAATTAGAAATAGTGGCAGATAGCCTTAGCTGCATTGCCATAACTCAAAAACAAACAAAAAAATAAATAAATATAATACTCTCACAGCTGAAAGGACAAGCATGTTTGGTGGCAGTGGGAATCAAACCCAAGATCATGACATATCCCCAGTAATCACCTGTCCATGCTGGTCCAATGGTTAACAAACTTGAATTAATTAAAAATAATAATGAGAAATCATATTTTCAATACTTTGATTACTCAGATAATGGATAGCTGAAATAATTGAAAACAGGAATAACAGGGGAAACTATTTTAGTTGATTATTTTTACATCTCATGATGAATCAGTTATGCTTACCAAACTTGATTAATTCAAAAACAATGAGAAATCATAATGACAACAATATTCTATTACTTGGATAGTTGGAATAATTGGAAATATTAACCTCGATTATTTTATTATTTTTGTGACATTAGTCGATTTAATCATTAATTTGATTAACTATGTTACATGACACTAATCAATGTAACTGATGTTTTAGGCAATTGATTGTATCAATTAATTAAGTTAATACCTAGTTTTAATGGTGACAAAACTAACAGGTAAAGTGATAGAATTTTTGTGACATGTAACTAGTTAGTTATTAATATGAAATTAAGTCTTAGTTACTAAACAAATCAAGTAACAATGAAAGTAACTTTTCTTTGCATGTTTTTATCTTTAAGAAAATTAAAATCCATAGATTACAAAATTCTATTTAGTTTGTTGATGTCACTAACCACCTTTTGAAACATCGAACTGTGCTACTTTTGCAAAAATATCTTATTGTCTTTGTAATTTGTACTTCTGTCTAGTGACATTTTGAAAATAAACCCAGGTATCACAGATAAAATCACTGTTACTGTTCTAGAAAATTTCACCTAACCACTGAAGTGTATAACAGTGTCGAAATTGGAAATTAGGAACCATTATGCTTAGAAAATCAGCCGGTTAAGAAGATTTGGCAATTTTTCAAATTAATTTGCAGTTGTATTAATAATTATCGGTTAATATAAATATATTAAAGAAGAAATTTGGATTAAGAATATAGGGTTAATGATTTAAAATGTGCGTTTCATTTTAGGTGTTAGTTGTGACTCATGCTTGCAAGGAAATTTCAGAGGGAAAAGGTATAAATGTTTGATATGCTACGACTACGACTTATGTGCATCTTGTTATGAAGCTGGCATAGTAACAACACATCATACAACCCACCATCCCATGCAGTGTATTCTCACTCGTTCAGATTATGGTAAGGAACTACAAAAGTGGTATTTTGTAATGCTGATACTGTTAGTACTAATTCATCAAATGTTGTTGTTTTTTTTTCTTTAATAATTCATTAAGTACTCTGATTTTTTTTAAGTATGTAGGTTCTTCACCAATAGTAATTTACGTGTGGTAGAACCTTAAAGTGGGAACCATAGCTTAGATTGCATGGTATTGATTGGCAACTTATGTAGCATTAATGATTATCGTGGTACTTTCAGAATTCAGGATTATGGTACAAGATATCTAATTTTTGCTGAAATTCCACTGTACAATCATCAAACTCAAGTTACATTTTGTATGTAATGTTTTTTCTATAAACAGTATTATTTTATGTGCACATTTCTTTTCAAGCTTCATTTTTATTTTCACATGTTTTTATATATTGGTACTTTATATTTTGGCATATATTTTTATATTGTTTGTTTTCATTTGGATTGCACTGGAGCAGCATTTCCCAAACTGGGATCCATGGACCCCCAGGAGTCCCTGAGGGTACTCCAGGGGTATGTGAGCCATGTCCAAATTTTCATAAAGATATTTAAATATATATGATTTATAGAATAAAATCATTTTTATAAAATAAAATTTATATGAATTAAAACATTTAATTTTGAAATACAATTTTTCATGTACATGGAATCTTTTTTGAAAACAAAAAATATTGATAGGTTTTGGGTCTGTGAAAAAACTTTTAATTAAACGGTGTCCTCAGGTTACTAAAGTTTGAGAACTGCTGCACTATAGTTTTGTACTTATATGTCTGTTACAGGATCATAATAACTTTAATGTTTCAAACAGGTCAGATCTAGTGATTTGCTTCCATAGTTGTAATAACATATACGTGCATGTGTAATACAGTAAGTTATTGCTATAGATAGCACAGTTCTAGTGATGATCATGAAAATAGCATTATAAGTATACTTATTTAGTAGGTAGTTTAACATGTACATAAAGTAAACATTGTGACAATTTTGAGACAGTAAGGTAGCATTAATAAATTTATTTATTGGTCGTTATACTGTTTAGAATAGGTTTTTAAGTATTTTGATTTTGGTGTTTTGTGTGGTACCTCAGATCTCATGGTTAGGGATTTTGCTCTTTTTTTCATTTACTTCTGAAACAATTGTCAATAAATTATTTAAATTTGCTGGTGACATTAAAGTGTTGGGTGTTGCTGGCTGTCAGGAGGATGCTGCTGCTTTACAAAAAAGATTTGGATTATTTGGTGAGTTGGGCAAATAAATGGTAAATGGCTTTTAATTATAATAAATGTAAGGTAATACATATGGGATATCAAAATTTTAATCATGAGTGTAATTTTGAAGATAATAACCTTAACAGTATTATGGAAGAAAAATATCTTTGTGGTTTGGTTGATCCACTTCCAAAGCCATCAAGGCACTGTACTGTTCCTAATGCCCCTCGATGTGGATTTCTGTACGTGGTGAGGGGACCTCCCAGGGAAGGTTCTGTATTTTCAGTTACTTCCTCTAGGATCTAAACATCCACTCACATGTTTGCCGTGCGTGGCGACCCGTGAAGGAGACTCAAGAGAAGTTCACTGTGCTTAGGATGGGAAGTTTCTACTAAGATGTCTCCAGAACGTAGCTTCTTAACTGACTTTGGAGAGCCAGCAAGCCCCTCTAAGCCCTTCTGAATAAAAAAAGGAGACATTTGCCATAAAGATTTATCTGATAGTGAATGTATGATTAAAAAGCGAGGTACAGGTGTACTGTGTGATGGAGACTGCTGTTCAGAGTCTTCTAGGCGTGGTCGTATACAAATAAGCAGATTTTTAACATTTTTTTAAATTTGGAATGGGGGATCCAAAATTAAAGAGAGAGAGATTCAGTGCCCACTGACCCCGCCCGCCATGGAGTCCTACGAGGGGACGCACTACAATGTCAAACAAGGACACTGCAGCAACGCCAGGGTTTCGTGAGCACTATACCCAAACACCAGTATCAGACACGATGTCCACAACACCCGTTGAGAACGCCCAACACTGGTACTCAGTTGACCCTAGCCCCAGTGGACCATCCGATTGACCCTAGGGGGGCCACCCCAAGGCCACCCGTCTACAGGAATTCAAGGCCAAAGTGGTGTGTTGCAGTGCCCCAGACACCACTCAACCACCAGGATTCTCTCCTTCAAAGGCCATTGGGGATATACCCATTGAGGTTACTCCCCACGCTTCCTTGAATTCCTCACGAGGAGTTATCGTTGAGAGGGATTTGAAATCTATCCCCGAGACGGACATCCTTGCTGGTTTCTCCAATCAAGGAGTTTCGGCAGTTCGAAGGATCTCCACTCGTCAAGATGGAATTATGGTGCCGACCTCAGTTTTAATTTTGACGTTTTCATCCCCACGTCCACCTGCCACCATAAAGGCAGGTTATTTGAACTGTAAGGTACGGCCCTATATTCCCAACCCTCTCTGATGTTTTCAGTATCAGTGGTTCAGTCACTCAAAGACATCTTGTCGTGGTTCTGTGACGTGTGCTCGTTGTGGTGGCA